ATAACAAAAATGACCAAGCTTTATTGATTTACGATGAATTTTTTTATCAATTAGGTATAAAAAATATAATACGATATATTTATGAAAAAATAATAATCACCAAATGAGTAAAAAAACTGTGAAAGTTAGATTACTAAAGTATTATGTTAATGTACCTAGTGAGGATTTTGTATTAATATAATTTTTTTTTCCTCTTAAACGATACAATTTTGAATGATTGATATAGTAAAATACTTACTTCTGTATAAAACTTTATTTCGTGACTTTCGAAACTTCATCCCCTTTATACGTATAAAAATAATTAAAATCGACTTAAAATATGAATGTAGGCTGTGAAAAATAAAATAAACACTATAATGTGTAGGAGAAATTTTAACGGATTGGATTGGTTTGGATAAAAAGAGTAAATGAAATCTGTTTATTTTGTTTTTTATTTGAAAACATTAATATTTTTACATTACTTGATATGAAATTATATTCCAATAAAGGTCATATGGTTTTGAAATGAAGGCATTTCTGTTTTTTGCGTACAAGATTCAATAGACGCAATCATTCTTATGTACAAAAAGGTAAAATATAGATTCAATTGGGCATGGCATACAAAAAGATTCGGCATTATTTAAAACAATTTCATTGGTACAACTACAGATTGATAAAATTTAGTTTCAATGACAAAACATAAAATTCAGCTTAGGGTAACTTGATAAATGTGCTTATTATGCAGAAAAAATGTACTAATCTACAGAATTTAATTAAAAAAAAGCACCATCTTTTACAATTCACCAAGGGATTGCTAATGCAATTAGACATTATAGAGGCCTATTTTTTGTCTTTTTATCCCGCACCTTTTTCGCCGAAACTCTTCTTCTGTGAGCTTAAGATTTTCTTTACATCTTAGAGGAATTCACGAATCAATGGTTCGAGATCTTGTGTTTTTTAAGCTCGTCCTTATCGTTGAAGTCTCGTTTACAAATGTGGCATCGGTAAATAATCGTCTTTTTGTGCCAATGTTCGTGTCTAGCAAATTCATTACCATCATCGAAGGTTTTTGAACAAGTGAAGCAGCGAAAAGCGTCCCTATTTCGCCCGCAAGGGCTCTCCTCTTCTTCAAGTTCGCTATTTTTGCTGATGGCTTCTGTAGGTACGGGCGAGAGATTTTTTACTGCGTGTTCACGCTGATGGTTTCGAAGATCGTCTTCTCGGGAAAAAATCCGTGAGCAATGTGGGCAAGAGAAACGGTGATCATTGCGTATGTGTGTTTCCAGTTTGTATTTTTGGTTGAAAAACTTTCCACATATATCGCATCCGAAGAAATGCTGTAAGCTCATATGTCTCATGCAGTCGTCGAGTTGACTGAAAGATTGGGGGCAATAATTACACGAGTGGGGTTGTTTGGGTGGGAGGTAAGGCTGGTGCTCTTTAAAATTTCTCTTTTGGCTACATGTTCCTCTACACTTGGAATGGAGACATGAGTTTTCACTCATGTGGACTCGTTTGTGCTCCTCAAAATCTCTCTTTTGGCTACATGTTCCTCTACACTTGGAATGGAGACATGAGTTTTCACTCATATGGACTCGCTTGTGCTCCTCAAAATCTCTCTCTTGGCTGAATTTTTCTCCACATGTGGAGCAGAAATATGAATTGTTCTTCATGTGGGATCGATTGTGCTCCTCAAAATCTCTCTCTTGGCTGAATGTTTCACCACACGTGAAGCAAAGATATAAGTTCTCACTCATATGGACTCGCTCGTGCCTCTCAAGATCTTTCTTTTGGCTAAATGTTTCATCCAACTCCGTGCAAGGCAAGAAATTTTCAACTGCATGAAAGAGTTCGGGTGTCTCTAACTCACCGCTACGTTTGGGGGCTTCTGAATCATTGACGTAACGCAAAAGTTTTGTTGTCCGAATTTCATGGGAGCCAATGTGCTGCTGAAAATCGGTCTTTTGGTCGACAGATTTCCCCGATACTTGATACTGGGAGCCACAAAAGGTATTTAAGTCTGAGGAATATAGTTTCGTACCGTAAATTTCTTTCCACAAGGTATCCCTGTTTGATGAATAGTAGGAAGTATTTTTGTCCACACGGTCATCCTCGGGGTAAGATTTCTCACTCATGTGGGAGCGTTCATGTTTTTCCGGATCCCTCTTTCGACTAAAAATTTCTCCAGGCAAGGAGTTTTCGTCTGCGTGTTCACGCTGATGGTTTCGCAGATCGTCTTCTCGGGAAAAAATCCGTGAGCAATGTGGGCAGGAGAAACGGTGATCATTGCGTATGTGTGTTTCCAGTTTGTGTTTTTGGTCGTAAAATTTGTGACATCCATCGCATTGGAAGGAATGCTGTGAGCACATATGCTTTATGTAGTCGTTAAGTTGACTGAAAGATCGAGAGCAATAATTACATGAGTGAGACCTTTTGTCTACGTGATCGCGCTCGTGTCGCATGAGTTCGCTCTTTTGGCTAAATGTTTCCCCACACGTGGAGCATAAATATGAATTGTTCTTCATGTGGGCTCGCTCGTGCCTCTCAAGATCTTCCTTTTGGCTAAAAGTTTTCGCACACGTGGAGCAGGAGAATATTCTGCGTAATCTATTTATCCTATCGTATCTAACATTGTGGTTGGAAGTATGTCGTGTGGGGTAACGGGATGGCTCCTCACTAATATTGTATTGTTTGGGATTATTTTTTTTTAAGAAAATTTGTTTAGACATAGTCGAGGGCAAAGGGTTTTCGACTGGACGGGGTATACAGTGACCACTGAGTATGTGCACATCTAGTTCGTGCTTTTTGGTGAAGAATTTTCGACACATGTTGCAGCCAAAAAAATGCTCCAAACAGACGTGATTTACCCATTCGTCGAGTTGATTAAAAGATTGGGGGCAATAATAGCACAAGTAAGACTGGCTATGATGACTCGTGGGGCAGTAGATTGAATACTTGCATGTGTGCGTTTCAAGTTTTTCGATTTTGCTGAAACTTTGTGAACAAAAGCCGCAGGGGTACGGCTTTTTCTCTCTGTGCTCTGTGTTGGTGTGCATTTGTGTTGCAACACCACTGGAGTTGGTACAGTTTCCTACGCATCTGTTCCCTAATCTATACCTAATAATTTTTTCACGTGTGGGATACTGATTCTGACGGCTGTTCATTTTTATCTTTGATGACTCATTAACTCGATAGCTTGATGGTAGTTGGCTTTATTGCTGCTGTGGCGTTCTACTTCGCTTTTTAGGTGTCGAAAATAATGCTTTATCGATGGTAGTCGAAATGTTCTTGAAGAAGGTTATTGTCCTGTAGGCAAAAAAACGTTTATCATGTATTTTGGTAAAACAAAACCGTCCAACCAATTGTTACAAGATTACATTGTTTTATAATGGAATTAGTCATATTGCACAATGTGGTACGTCATAGCATTGGGTTATACATGCGTAAGAATTTTGACGTACAAGCTTGTTAATATATGGTATATATTACACCACGAGGGGGAAAAAAATGAGAGTGGTCACTCGAGTCGACGGGTGAAATGGAAAGAATTACAGATTTCCAAACATATTTATGTACATCGTTAAATTGAAAAATGCTTTCGTAATTTTAAATGGCGAAGATAAACATGGTCATTAACTGTAGGAAACCAATCGGTTTCATGTAGGTACGTAACACGATACGTATGCAAATTTTAGTGTGAAAATATGCAATTACTCAGGAAATCTAGTAGAATGTCATTGGTTTAACAATATAAATTGATGGATAAACAATTTTAGTCACGCACATGAAATTTCCTTCAATATAGAGGTTCAATATAACTATCACAAATTAATATGTGTTGCACCGATGCTGTTACATGCACGAAGATTTTTTTGCAGAAATTGATTAAAATATTTGTCACCAAATGAACCATCAATCATCCGAATTTCAACTATTTCTCTAAATAATAAATTTACCGAGTAACCATTTCGTAGAGTTTCGAGAAAATATTTTTTGTCCAAACCTTAAAAGTTTTTTTATCTTAAAATTCAAATGGCAATGCATTTTGATTGGTTGGCTAAGTTTGTGCATGTTGTGGCAAAAGTTTTTTTTTTAAACTTTACTAGATGACGTACATAGGAACTTGAGCACATTTCATATCAGTTTGTCTAATAATTTGTTTATAATTAATTCGATACTGTCTCCAGGTTTTTTCAACAACTTATTATTTTTCGATGACGAGTCGAAAAGTATTCATACTCTTGTGGTAGTTGTGGTATTATACGGTTACATTTTTTTTTATCGTAAACTAGAACTAACCTTAACGTTTCCGTTATATAGTGTAGATTACGCCTCCCATCATATGAACATCAGTGATCTTCTTAAGTATGCCATGGCGAAGTCAAAAATCTTTTTTGACACTCCACATTAAGACGAGTCACTACAGTTCAAGAAATACTTATACACCAACAGAGCACGTAAGAAAATGGATGTACACTGTTCATTGAATAGCACCGCGGCAATTCAGGTGACGTGTTCGTAAAATTTTTACGAGCAGTAAAAATAGAAATCAGAAGTATAGTTCAGCTTTCGACAAGCAAAAGCACTGGTGACAAATATTAGTTCTAATAGCTTATCGTACTTCTTTCCTTATCGAAGGTGATAATAAATATACTTAATGATGTAGTAATAGATTCTGGATTTTCACTATTGTTAACTCAAAAAACGTGGTGTGAAACTGGGAAAAGTGGTGAAATGAAAATTATTTAAACATCATTATTTCTATTCGCAAGTAGAATTTATTTTCCTTCGTTGTGCATATGTTTTTTTTTTTTTTTTTTTTTTTTTTTTTTTTTTTTTTTTTTTTTTTTTTTTT